CTTGTGGGGAATTTAGCTAGTAAGAAAATTTCCGGAGCAGTTAGGGAAAATGTGTTGAAAAATCCGAATGGCATTTAATACGAATCAGCGGTAATGCCATAAATTTATGATAAGTGTATCCTGGTGACATGCACATATGCGTTGGACACACAAACTCATGTTTCGTACATATGGGAATAACTGGTAAAAAAAACAAGTAAACATGTCATAATGACGAATGACATTGTTACATCAATGTTAGAGAAACTGAATAGCATCTTTAGTGATTCAGTCAGTGGAGACGGAAACAAATTTCGTGAGTTCGATTCCACAAATAGCCAACCCCCAATATTGATCGGGTTTCTCACACACATAATTGGGTACGAATGCGAAAACGCGGGTTAAAACGTGTTTGGTTGGTCGGTCGAGTTTCGAGACGAGTGCCAGAAATCCCTTCAACACGTCATGTTGCTTTGCCCAGTTGAAACCGGACTGCGCATCAATTTGCGGTCGAATGTCTTACTTGGAAAGGAGGAAGAGGTTTTATGGCGGAGTTCGATTAGGGAGGAGGGGCATTTTGCACTTTCGCTTCGTCCCCTAGTTGTGCTCAATGCCTTACAAGGGCTGACACGTACAGGGTAGCGAAAAATTGCGTGCGCAGAAAGAAACGCTACAACTCAGTTTCCGCTCACATGCTTTTGAAGCAGATTGTTTTTTAAAAATATAAACCTAGGTATTTTACAATTATGGAGAATTTCATAGGTTATTGCCATCAGTTTTGATACAGACCTCAACTCGTTCCTTCATGTAGTCAATAAAGCGGCGGAGGTAGTCAAGTCCAAATTCTCTATATTTCCAAAGCTCGTTTTTTTCACAAAATCATCAGAACTTTGACGTTTGCTCTATAGTTACTGCTTCATCACCCCCCCCCCTATACATGCAAGCCCTAAGGATTCAGATCCGGACTGCTAGAAACTCCCCATCGGATAGGAACCAATTTCGGAGAGAAGGAAGTGAGTCGCTCTTTTTATTTCATGAATGAAGTCTGATCCTATTACAAGATAAAATAAGGTCAATATTGTTCTCAAAATAAATATTTTCGGAAGGATGGCATGTATTGTATGTGTGCAGCATTTATTGCTTCACACAACATTGTAAACATAAAGCTGCGTTCATACTTTGCGGCAGCATCCACCAGCATCTGTCAGCGTCTACCAGCGACTAATAACATCCCAAGCGTCCGGCAGCATCAGCGACTAGGAAAGTAGAGATATCATTCCGGCGTCTGCCAGCGTTTGCCATCGTCTCGAGGGCTAGGAATATATAGGCATCGGGTCTGGGAGCATGTGCCAGCGACCGGGGTCAGAGAGTAAAGAAAACTAGGAGGGTAGCAAACAGCTAATAAAGGCGTCGTAAATCGCGGCTTGTTCAACCGCCCCAACTACACTACACCGTACATTAAATTGCATTTCTGTGCTTTAGCAGTTGTGCGGTGCGGTTGCACACGCCGCAATTTCACGACGCCTAATCCAGCTGTTTGCTACCCTCCTACTTCCCCATACTCTCTACTCCGGTCGCTGGTGAACGCTGGTGGACGCTGGCCGAGGCTAGATCGATAGTCTCTAGCCCCCGAGAAGCTGGTAGACGCTAGATCGATATCTATACTTCTCCTAGTCGCTGACGCTGCCGGACGCTCGGAACGCTAGTGGTCGCTGGTGGACGCTGCTGCAAAATATTCACGCAGCCTCATAAGTACCACACGCAAGTAATTTTTTTTCTCCATCCTGGAGTTTCTACGATTTTTGACTGAAATCACTTTATGGTTTTGCAAGATTTCACGAATCCATTTTGATGGCTTGAACGACAATGAGAACTAACAAAGTGCAAAATGCCCTCCCCTAGCCGAATTGCGCCGCCTTTTTGACTTCACTCTCGCTAAGAGCAAACATTAAGATGACTTTATAGCCTCATCAATATTTCAGCTCAAAAAACGTTTTGTCTACAATTCACCTATGCATATGAGAGCTGTGATAGCTTTGGCAAAGCATTTTATGGCCAACTACGCCTTGCAGAAAGCGTAGACAACGAGAAAGCATCGTTTTGCCACCCCTTCCCCCCACGTTTTCTTCACATCATATGTTCATGCAGGGCAAGACTGTTAGAAAAGGTTGGCGTTGTAGGGGGAGGCCCAGAGTGGGATGAATTTGAAGAGCTCCTTGTATAAAACTGAAGTTACTGCGAGCAAAGTCTTGTTTGAAGGGATTGATTCGCACATCTCAAAGCTTCTTTCCAGGAATAGGGATCCTTATGGGTCAAAGAAAAAAGTAGAGCGTATGGATGAGGGGAAAAAACGGACCATTGACATTTCTCATAATTACACTCATTTTCCCACTTCGTAAAATCCTTTCTCTTCTTTTCTGAGCAAAGATCCTCATCTCCGTTTCGGCGATCCCAGCTTCACGCAAAGAGCCTTTTGTACCGCCCTTTAGTGCAAGTTGCTGATAGTGAGGTTCGAAAAACAACTTTGCAGGAGCCCCGTAAGACGCAAATGACGGAGTAGCATAGGAAACTACCCAAAACGCCTAACAAGGCCTCTCTTCTGTCGTAGGACGAGTATACCGGTCTTGTTGCTCATGGCAGGCAAATCGAGCCTTACCTCTGTGCATTTGGCTCCCACTGAATGCCTTCCAAAACTTGAGAGAAATTGAAGGCGTGGTGCAGAAACGAAGCTCCTAGCGTATTGTGACTCTGGGAAATTCGTTGGCAAAATGGTAACTGCCCTGACAAAGGATAAAGGATAAAGACTTCGCCGTTAATCGATCTCTTTTCGGTAGGGTCACGCATTCTACTTCTATTCAGAATCGCAGCGGCTTATTGAAAGCCTTACTACAGGACTACTACAATGACATGCGAGGGCCAGCCAATGTACAAGTAAGTGTTTTTATCCTCCCAGACAAACCGGGTATTAAAGGCAGTTGGCACGATATTTGGTGTTCGGCCTAAAATGCTCCTAAGGCGCTATATAGCGGGGAAATGGCGAAAGAACGGAGTGAAACGGTCAAGATCCTGCAAAGAAAAAGCCTCCGTTTTCACTGTGATAGTAATCAATTTTGGACGAGTTTCCCGTAGGCATCTAGCCAATCACTGCTACCGAAGGTACGGCTGCATATGTGTACTCATATATCCATGCAGCATCACGGCCGCTTCATACCAATCCCTTCGCTTCATAATTTGCTTAGCAAATGAATCGATTAGAGCGTCAGGAACGGTCGTCCAAAAGTAGGCGGGCGGGCGAGGAAGGCGTTTGGGACGTAAAGTTGTTGCTCGATAGAGCGTTATAGGGGTACCCTCCTTGAAAAAGGCGTCGCGGAGCACCTGTCCAAGGTCACAGAATTCTGTTAAGCCAGTCGTATAAATCCTACACCTGTATAGCGATTTATCATGCCAACTGCCTTTAATTTGCCGTCCCCGGAGGGTGGAAGGCCCGGTTGACTTGAGTGGGTATCGACCGGGGATTTGAAACCCGGACCGCGCAAGTGGTAAGCGTGCCACTTCACCACCTCCGCCACTCTAAGACGATGAACTATTGCATCGATGGAACTCATTTTTTTTTGGCAAAACGCATTCTACCTGGCGAAATGGATTGCTTTTCATTGCCTTCACCCCTTTTCAAATATGAATTTCTTATTCAAAGGAAGCGGAATGCCTTTTGTAGACGCTTTAGACATGGGGAACCGGTCTGAGGCTCGCCAGTCGCCAAACCCAGCCTCAGTGACACGCCCCTTCAACCGCAGCGGACAAGACTGTATTTGGACGAGGAAAGAATTCCACCAACTGGGTGAGCTCGGGATGTGTACCTCAAGCCCCTCTCGGCGGATTTGCGCCGAAAATGGTTCTCTGAAGTGATTACCAGTAAGGCACTCAGTGAGAAGCAGACACATTTATTCATTTTCATAGAGCTTTACAACGATGGTTTGGAACTATAGTATGACACTGTGGGATAGATGTAAGCCTGTGGTTGGGCTGGCCAATATGTACTGCAGACGGGAACCTGAAAATATGTATAATAAAATCCGAGGGTTATAATATGCATACAAAACATGCCAAAATGTCAAAATACATGTCAAAATTAAGGTGCCGCTAGAACTTCATTTGCACTACGGGTTTTTTTTACTTCTCTCCTCTGTACTTTTTATTTCTTCGATTGGTGAAATCTTCTCGATGCCACATTTGCCGCACAAAGGGTATTGTAGAATGAAAAATCTTACAGGTAAATCAAAATGACAATTGCACTGCAAGATTGCGGTCTACAGGTGAGTTTAACTAATGTACGGTTTTTTCAGGTATTGGTTTCAGGATACATTTGGCCCTTGATTGCTGTCTTTTGCAATTACAGCTACTACTTACATTATATGAATAATGGATAATATGTAATGGAATCAACTAAAAAGGGCATTACCATTAGTAATGGCTCAACGATTCCAGGGTAGTCATGCAAAGGCGGCAGAAAGGTTTCTCAGTTGCTACGATTACCCCTATAGACTACTTTCTTGAACGCGCTAGCACGAATGATCTTTTGTGCAAACACTATGGCAATTTTAAGCCCTCCCTAGGAGCAACTGCGCTTTTGAAATGCCAGACAATGGATTCCTTCGGGCTTTTGGTGAAAGTGCCAAAGATCGACGTCCTTTGGAAAAAAGGTTTAAGTACTTAGCGAAATAAGTACGGTAGTAAAGAATATAATTTAGTAAAATAGTAAACAAAAAGCTTGAATAAGCCAAAAAAATTCGTTCTAGGATTTTATAGGCATTCATCTCTGTCAGGAAGGCTCGCTTACCAATAAAATATTCCATGAAATAGTTACAGTACAATCCTTCGTATTGGTTTAAGGATCTAAATTTCACTACAAATAAGCCAAATAACTGACTGCGAAAACCTCCAAACTCTCCGAAATAAAAAGCCAAAGTTCTGGTAACGTTCTTTCTTTCGTCATTCGGAAAATTTAGTACAAAACTGTCTTTTGAAAAATTGGAACCAACAAAATGGAATTTTTGCCAAGATTTTTAGCCTTTTTGGTGTAAATAATAGTTAGTTCTGACAATAAATGTCTCAGCTTTTTCATGGTGTACGATGCTTTACATTCATATATTAGTTGCGGATTAGTCGGGGCGGTGTGGGAAGAGGCGGAGTGAGCCCGCCTCCAGTTGTCTTGCTCTACCAATAGTGATGGGTTAGCAACTAATTTAAGGAGGGAACAACCAGTTGTGGAAATTTTGTCCGTGGGCTCATTTAATCACGATTGAAACCCACCGACTGATTACGACGTTATCCACTATATCATAATGGGATTCCGAGACAGCGCAATATTCAAAACAGTAAATACATCACAATTACCAAGAATCGATTTTGGCTGTTCGAGGTTTTTTGGTAGTGTACTTGTACTGTATTTTGAGTAAGTTTGATGTTTCAAAAAGAGGACGACCGTATCGTGCTTCGTGCAAGCGGAAGTGCAAGTCAAATGTGCTGTGCAGTTTTATAGAACTTGTTCAACTTGTACAGTGTCATACTACTAATAGTATAACCCTGGAAGGGAATCATTTTGGCAATGATGACATTGAAGAGATGATAAGTCAAGATGTAGCGTCTACAGAGGGTGATTTGCAATAATTCACCCCTGTTTAGAATATCTGCTTCCTACCACCCAACTGGAATCTATGGCAGGAAACGTGCCAAAGGATGGCGCAGTTCTTTCTGACGCTTTCGCCGACTAGCTATGCATAGCTATCATAAAAGAGTATCCTCGACTCAACGTGCAGGTTGGGAACTGCCTGGGAAAAGGTTGTAGTGTCTTTGCGGGACATGATAAGGTCCTGAAGCTCGAGGTACCTCCTGCTATCAAATTCAGCACAAGCGCCATGAAAAACGCAAGTGACATGCAATTGGGGTGATTCTTTACCAAAGCAGTGTGGACAGGCAAAGTGTGAGCTATGTGAAATTTGTTCCCATCGCTACAAGAAATGCCTGCAATTTCAGCAAAACATACGATTTTCCGATTCGGCATTTTTCTCATATCTCTTTGGTTATATGGTTGTGATAAGTGTCACTTTTGCAACAACGAGTTACGGCAACGAAAGCAAAAGGACGTCCGATTGTGTTGTCCTATCGTTATTCCCCTTTCATGAAAATGAATAATTCATATGTAGAGAATCCCATAAATATTTAAAGACCACGATGTTCCTTCAGCACAAGGACAGGGCACCTGATAGAATGAAGGTGTCTATAGGAGCGTTCCCACGAAATGTCATCGTGTAATTTACTGCGAGTGGGGTCGTATTTTGTCGGCCAGCGGATAGTAGCGTGGCGTTTGACCTCAGGATTTTGTTGATTGACGATTTTTCTCGTTTCACGCGCTATTTCCCACTTTGACGGAATGTGTTGGAGTATGTTAACAGGAGGGTATCGAAGGAGAAAGTCGTACTGAAGCAGATATTTTCCTTATCAGGACTGTGGATCATCCGTGGATGCCCTGGATCAATGCTGAGAACGTGTCGTAGGTATTCTTGGGGACTATGGTAAGACTCTAAAGCAGTTAAGGTCAGCACAACCGCGAATAAACGCAAGCGGCATGAGATTGTGACGCTACTTAGCCACACAGTGCGGATAGTCGTGGGAAAGGCGATGAATCTGTAATTTTTTGCCACAGGGAAATCGATTTCATCATACATTAATGTCAGTACAACCCAACTTCTATGAAACGACGGCTCTGGTCTGAACTTGAAGTCTAGTAGCTCTGTGTTGTCGCTTATAACCGGTGTGCGGCTCCACGTGGGCTGATATGCCCTTGTCTCGAAGTGCCGGCATACCCTATGTCACCTCATGTGACGCTAAGGGCACTGTGGCCAGCTAGTAAGGTTAGTAGCTTCTTCACCAGTTATTAGTATCTTGTGAGCAAAGCCTCCATGGTCACTAGGATTCCGCACTTTCCTTCTGTCTCTGTGGTCTATGGCCTCCTGGTCGAAACAGTCTGATTATTCCCCTTCCGTCTACTTACTTCTGGAACCCCATCTTCCCGATCAACTGAGTGCTGCTTCGGCTAATACTATCTCACCTCTAAGCGTGTAATTGTCTAAAATTGAATTGCAGTTGGATTTTTTTTTTGTTTTTGTCATTTGCTTGTTTCAGGAATTTATTATTCTACACTACCACTTGGTTCTATTTGAGCGCGTTGTATTTTAGGACAAGTAAATGAAATGAATAAATATCGAATCCAATATCTAAGCTGGTTGCCAGCTGATGTTGTTGCTCAGCTGTTGTTACTGGTGTGTGATTCTCTAAGCGTTTCCATCTCCTTGTTAGTTACTGAGGACCAAAGGAGAGTGAGACTTTACATCCACGCTGCGCCAAAGCCCAGAAGGTTTACTATTTAACAGACTTGACATACTGCAGCACTTGCTCACAAAAGAAGGTCCTGGCGCGAAAGCTGTGATATGACACCCCTCGCAACTTCGTGCTCACAACGGAGGCACAGCGTGGATGCTACTTCCGCATCTAGGACCAAATATCATGCTACAGGTGGTCCAGATAGACTCTCTCCCCTCCAGGCCTATTCCGTTTTATACAGCACGGATATGCTTCTTACCGCGTATCAGGCTAAAACGTAGCCTTGGCCGACATTTTGATTGACACCTTACACGTTTGGGGTCTTTCACACATTATTACTTTATTGAATTATTTTCAAATCTCTGTTTAGGTATTCTTCTTCTGACAAATAATCGAAGGTGGTGTGGAGGCAAGTGACACGCCTACCACTTGCACGGTATGGGGATCAAAGCCTGAAACAATTCTGCCTAGGCCAACCAAGGCTCCGGAGACGGTAAATTGGTACCAGATTCGTCTGGGAGGATAAAACACTGACTTGTACATCGGCTGGCCACCGCAAGTCATTGTATAGGCCACATCGCATTCAATAAGCCACTACGATTCTGAATGGAAGTAGAATGCGTGCCGCATCCCACAAAGGGATTGATCAACGGCGAAGACTTTATCCTTTTTTCCTTTCTGAGAGACTCTTAGTCAACAGTGCAGTCACGAAAAGTACCACTGAAATGAGTTCCTTCTCTAGGTAACAACTGAATGGTTTGTATCAAAATAAGTCGAGGCTCATCTGATTTGCTCTCCCATCAGATGTCGTCAAAGCGCGGTTCAAGTGGCAGTACTGTGGAAACGTACAAGGACTACATGAAGGACGTGTCGCATTGCTTCAGCCGTTTTCTTTGGAATGTGGCCGGTCGGTTCAGCAGCCTAAGGTTGAGCATTATTCCGGGAACAGGCGACCCGATTTGTTTCAAACGCTTCGTCAGTGTTGGTGCCAACATCTGCCCCATAGCTGTAGGAAGACATTACCTGCTTGTACTCTGGCCGCTCAGAAACAGGATACTTTTCCAATTGAACAGGAGCATAGCTCTTAGAATGGGGAAATCCAGCTCTGGTTAGACCTGTGAGTACTATCCGTGGAGTAGCAACAAGGAGTGTTGCGTTCTGCTCTCACACTACTTCAGCTCTCATCTTTAGTTATAATCGCAATGAGGAAATCCTGTCATGAAGCCACATACTAAGCCTTTTCTCGGGCAGTCAAGAGTGATGCTAGGAGTGGAAATGTTTGCGTTGGAATTTCCTTTTCCGGAAACCTAGTCCTTTGGAGGAACGATGTTGCTATGACCGGGTACGAGTTTCCGCTCTTTTACCTTGAAGGCGTAAGCCACGATAATTTGGCACCTGGTCTGGAAGGTAGCAGGAGTGCTATTTAGTGGAAAAATGGCGAAAAAGCCAAGTGGAACGGTTAAAAACGTGCTTTAAAGAAACCTCAATAAAGATTTGTTAACACGACTCGGTGAACAATTTCAGACAAGTTTCCCGTTGGCATCGTGCCAATAAACGCTACGGTAGATAAGGCTGCATGTATGTACTCATATATCCATGCAGCACCGCAGCCGCTTCATATCAGTCCCTTCGCTTCATATTGTACTTCGCAAATGAAGCGATACGAGCATCAGCATCGGTCGGACATTAGTGAGCGAGCGAGTTGGTATGTATTAGCATGATAGGGCGCTATAGGGTACTTGGAAAAGGCGCCGCCACCCAGCGCCTGCTCAGGAGCCCCGAACTTGGTCCAGCTAGGCGTATTAATTCCACATAAGTTGGAGGCTGATCCACGGTAACGGTTGTTACTATGCTTGGAACCTCAGCTGATGATATAATTGGTTGATCCAAAAGACGTGTCTTTTTTTTAATTTCTGCTCAAAGGTTAAAGGCAGTTTTCAACAAAAATCGGGCAAGAATTGTAGGGCAGTCGTACTCTGGTCAAAGGTTAAAAGCAGTTTTCAACAGAAATCGGGCAGGAATTGTAGGGCAGTCGTACTATCTCTTTCCAACAAGGGGCCTGAATGGCGCGATGGGCAGTCACCAAAAGCGTAAATTTTTAGCTCGACATGAACAATTTGTTTACTTTTCAGCTGTGAAAGCTGCACAGATACGGGATGGCATAGGAGAATGCAGTACCTTGGGAGCTTGGAAGACTTGGTAAACAGGTGCGAGTGGAATATTCTGTTGTACAACTTCTTGATAGTTTAGTAACCACGGACTAGTGGGCGGATTTGCAAGGTGCAATTTCTGTGAAGATTCCACAAAAATGGTGAACGTGTGTTTGCTGCTCAGCGGAAGAAGGTCACAAATCGAGTTATGCTAAATTTCGGCAAAGTGCGACACCTCCCTTCACCCTTATCCCTCTCTATTTTCAACAGAGCATGCTGTTCAAACGTTCAGGACCCGTGACAAACATGGTGTGTCATAAATTTGTCTGTATACGGTGTTTTATTCGATTTGGCTCTCCGCTTCAGTGTTGGAAAGCCACATTCTAGGTCACGCAAGATAGTTACCCTATAATGATTCAAAAAAGGGAGGAAATTACTATGAGTAACTTACGAAAAATGACAAAATGTTCCGAAGATGCGCGCAGTACGGCGGTCCGCAAAGTGTTAAGCGGGCTAACGAAGTCGTGAAATGCAGGACGCGCGTTTAATGAACACGTGGGTCAAGTAGTCTAAGGAACAGCGTTCAAATTCAGATAAAAAAAGTTGCCAGGACATTACTCAGAGGATAACTGAGAAATAGTTAGGCATTGACTGGACTTTTCATCGGGCATCATCTTAGAAAAACTAAACTGAAGTCTTCGAACAGACAATGACGAAAGAGTTCTAATGATATTTTCTTTTTGTTCCCAACAAAAGAACTAGCAGAGCTTCTTTCTTCGCATTGCAAGAGTTGGTTGAGAAGTTTCCGTTTTGTGATGTTATTAATGGTTATGCATGACGAATTTTATCAAATTTCACTAGCTCATTCTGCTAAATAAGAAGTTCTTTCAAGTAGAGCAATACTCTTTAGTTGTCAGAGCAATTACAAGGGGTATGTGACAAGTAAATCGTAATTAACCGTCATCAAATGACTATGTTGCTATCGTATATAGCAACAATAGGTAATAGGTGTAGCCTAGCCATAACTGCCTACGAGGTCGAAGTCAACAGGGGGGGGGGGGGGAGCCAAAAAAAAGACACTTTTCTTCCTCGACTTTCAAGGCGATATAAAGTTACACTTTATTAAATTCTGATTGGACATTTTTACCATCATATTCAGCAACATATTGTACACTATCACGAAACTCAGTTACAGCCTCTTGGACTAAAGCCATCGAGAGATTTTGCAACGCGACCAATTCCGTGTCTGATCAGCAAGGTCGTTCATTTCTCCGCCACTGTAGCTCACCCTGTTGAGCTCCTCCCGAACGCGGTATCGGAGGGGTTTAGGGCAAGTGCCGCACATGGATATTCCGTCTTTTTTAGATACTATTCGAGTAGGCAAGAGTTTTTCCAGCACCCTTCGATTCCACGTGCTGGCACCCAATCCTGTAGCAGTACGAAGTTTCCAAGATGGTACAGGCGACGACATGAAGGCAGGATATTCTCCTCGAGCTGTTCGATGTAACGTCAGCGTTCACTTTCAGTGCAGGGTCTAGAAGAAAATATCGGACTTACATACCATCCCAGAAACTTCCTGTCCACACCATCAACGCGCACCTTTTCGACTGCGGTGAACATGGTATCCTGGACCGTAGCGACGTTGTCTTAGCTGCTCGACGAGATCAAGAGTTCCGGTCCCCAGGTAGCTGTCCATGGTGGTCGATACAAGAAGTTTCGCAGCTGTTTGGAGGTGACGTGAATTCCATAGGCCTTCTCCAGTCCGGCTGCGATTGGAGATGATTTTTGGTGTGCATGAGGGTGATGGACGAAAGCCTACTCTTGCTTATCGAGGGACGTCTTTAGTATCTTCCGTTTTGGTACCATATCCACGTCTTCTATCTGGGCTGCATAAACTTTGATGATATAAGACTTGGCCGAAAGGTTTTTTGCCCTTCCCCTGTGCAAATCCAGTGCTCCATCGACAGGCACAAATTAAGAAAGCGCCTAGCCCATCGCCGCGTGCGACGGGGAAACAAATTATGATTGTATTGAACTTTCCCTGGTTGTGAGAATAGTACCTTAGATCTCTCTACAATGTTGTAGTAATAGTGAAAGGCATATTGATCAGGTGTACTCACCCCTTAGCTTTATTTTGCAAGAAGCGAAGAGCTAGTTGGACAGTTTGGACATCTACACCAGACAATGGACCACTTATTTCATCATAATTTTACAAGCTAGCGTGCCCGGGCTACCAGGCTCTCGTTAATCACCGAGGCTATGCTGGAAATATTGCTTTTCCAGGCTAATTTAGTCATTTTTTCCACCTTGTGAAGATAAGGAGCTGCTAATCTGGGAAAAAGTAGCCAAAACAGTGAAAAGTTGGAAAAAATGACTAAATTAGCCTGGAAAAAGCAAATAGTTCCTGGCACGCGCTGCGGCCCGTTGACGACCGCCCTAATCAACTGCCCGGATGTATATCTCGACAGTGAAGAAGAAGAAAGCAGAAAAGTGACAAGTGCCCTGAGTAGAATCCCATTTCAATCCCATTTTGTACCTGCCCAATTAACTCCATCCTCAACGCTACGCCTCATCCGCACAAGTGATTCTCCGTTAAGGACCCTAGAACCGTACCTATAACGACTGTCATGTTTTTTTTGCCATGCAGCTTCGTTTTTCACTGGAAAGCGGGTTATGAAATCTTCAAGGCGGAGCCAGCGGAAAAAAGGAGGCGTTACTGAACCCATACTGCGCTACAGCGCCCCTCCCTTACAATTTTTTGCCGCAAAACCGGTACAAGGTTGTTCGTCGCGGACCACACTACCCTCCTGACGCCATATTTTCAACTTCTATACCTGATCGCGGACAGTACCTTTAACCATGACGAACGGCTGCAACTCCTCACGGTGTGAATGAGGGCTCGTTACTGCTCATGGAGGACCAGATCGTGGGCAGAATGTTTTTTTTCCTTTCTCTCGCCCTCCCCTGCGAGGCTGTTATGGTAATTGACATAGCTGTAGCAGTCGCAGGAAGTTAAATCGATCCGTTCAGGACTGGAGGTGGACCGGCAGACATTTCAGCTTCTCCGCTTTGTCCCTGCCTTCCAAAAGTAATACACGACCGTTAGCATTCTGTAGTTACAGGTCTAGCCTCAGGCATCCAGAGGCTTCTGCAGCGCTACGCACCCACGCCTAGCACAAAATCACAACTTATAGCAGACCATTCGAATCGGGCAGTTTCAAGAGACATGGAATGAGCCCAGCTTTTTCACAGCTGGTTGATTTCTACCTAAATCGATCACTAACAATCACCATAGGTAGAGCAAAGAAGCCGGAGAAGCCCATTCTGCCCTTCTCGCCAGCGCCCCGACTGCTTGCGCCCTCATTAAATATGTCGCAAAAAATGGGAATCAGCGCAAATTCCAGTGTCAGGCGCTCCAGTCACAGCAAAGATATTATAGTTAGCTTTTCTTGTCAGACAAACACCGCAGTCAGCGTAGCTTTTCTTGTCAGACAAACACCGCAGTCAGCGTCACCCACTTTACAGTACAAGATTGGGAGATTGCATAATGGAAACTGACATGATAGAAAAGAAACTCACTGCTTGTGCTAACCTGTCTGAACCTCCCAATAATTGATATGGCACTTGTGAAGGCGTAAGCTTTGATACTAAATAACATAATTTTTCAAAACATCGGAAGGATGGAGCTAGATTTTATTCATCTTTCTCAGAAGCATTGCAAGATACTTTTGATAACGTCGCAATCGGTCTGGGCGGTTCCCATAGGCTTGCAATGAGTCCAGTAGCGGTTCCCAGAACTGGCTGTTCTGGTCCAAAATCGAGAGTAAGCAGCCGAAGGACGGCTCATTACGCCCCTATTCATACCGCCTCTTATTGCGACGTTAACAACTATACATCACCAAAGAGTAATCTTGAAACAAGTCAATAATCGCTCGTTCACACCACTTTAATGTACCAATTGGGATCTCGCAGATATTTGCTGTAATAACTGTCCCTAGAAGCAAAACTGTCGAAAAATTTTCAATAAAGCTCTTATAAATGCGATGACCTGTTTCAAGTTTTTTTCCGGTATTGTACATATTTATACAAGTTCAACAAACCCACTGAGGGTGACAAAAAATCTTACTATTTTGATAGGGGCTAAGCGATTGAACTGCGGTCGAAATGTCACTCCCACTGTTCATCGAATTCTGACAGGCTTGTGCAAGTCCTTGAAAGTCAAATTTGTAGGCGTACCTCTTACCATGAACCTGAAAGAAATCAAACCAAATCATCAGTTTTTTTACCTCTTCAAATGAGCATTGTTCCACGCTTTAGAATAGGTAGAGCTATCTAGAAGACCTTGATGGTGCGAAGATGAACGCCATCACGTTAAGACATGTTAGTGCTGTAAGGTTTTGGCTCAACAGCTCTAGAACCCAATGTAAAGTAGACGGGTCCGATGACGTAACAGAAAACTGCTTCTAGGTAAGATTGAGACGAGCGTTCTAATCTGACTTCTGTAACGTCCTCTCCCTCAAAGGCGTATGGCGCGATAATTTGGGTTACAGGACTCTTCTCAAAGGCATACTCTTGCTGCGAGGGACCAGAGGTATTTTCTCATCTCATTTACTGGCCCAGCAGTTGAAAGGGAGAAGGAAAAGGAAAAGAGAAGAGAAAGAGAAGGAAGGTAGAGAAGGAAAAAGGATGAAAAAAGGAAGGAGGAGGGAGACTCCTGAGGCGGATAATTTGGCATTCGGTCTAAACGCTAGTAGGGCGCTATGCAGTGGCAAAATGGCGAACAAACGAAGTGACACGGTTAAAAGCCTGCGCATAAAAGGCTCCGCTCTTAATGGCTCTAGAAGCAATTTTGGACAAGTTCCTCATAGGACAGTGGGCATCTTGCCAATAACCGCTATGGTAGGTACGGCTGCACGTATGCACCCACATATTGCAGCCCCACAGACGTGTCTATCCCTTCGCTTCATATTTTACTTCGCAAATGAAGCAATACGAGCATCAGGTACGGTCGTCCATTTGTGGGCGGGCGGGCGCGGTGGGCGTTCGGGTCGGTATGTTGCAGCCTGGTAGGGTCTCATGAGGGTACCTTCCTCAAAAAAGGCTTACGCCAGTGTATGTTAAGAGGCGCGGAATTACGGCCTGCCAGGCGAAATAACCCTACTCGTTTTGGGGATTTATCGTGCCCACTGCCTTTACCTTACCATTGATGCAATTTGAACAGCTGTTATCATAACGAAGAACTTCAGTGCTGTTTGAACACTTTCTGGATGAGGCTGATGCTACAGTGGTTTGTCATGCAAGAGAACCAGTGCACCTTATGGTGATGGAAAAGGCTTTCGCACGACTCCCTAAAAAAAGGTCTCTGTACGACCAAAATCCAGCAAAAGTATAACAAAGCGCATCCCCCTACGGCTAGTTTCGATACTGTTGTCGTCGCCTTGGGTGTACCTCACTGGAAAAAGTATATTATAGTTGACATCGTCGTGCGCTGTCAGGAGGCATGGAATAAGCCCACAGCCGTTTGCTTTTTCTACCAATAGTGAATGGGACAAGGAGAATAAAACTGGTGGTGGCCAGGTTGGTTCATTTCACCTCTCTTGATCCCGCCCCTACTGATTGCGACGATATCAACAGTTTGAGTTTGACGACGGGGGGGGGGGGGGCATTTTGTACTATCGTTAGTTCCGGTTTACATGTCTCACTCTGGCGAAACCTGTGAACTCTTGTGAAGCTGGAACAAGGTCGTCAAGCCATCATGTTAAAACCTGTCAACTCGAGAGGCTGTCTAGATAGGTCGACACGTCGATGGGAAGTAGCAAAAGTGCAAAATGCCCCCCCCCCCTCGTCGTCAGACTGCGCTCATAAGGCGGGTTACCGATGGCCATAAATCAGCATGATGCTGGGAATCACAGAAACGATCATGTGAAGCAACCAGAGCGGCAGGAGCTGTATGGGTCAAATAATTTGCAGCTTTTGTTATGTAAAAGCCATCAATATCTGGGCTAACCTTTGTCATGATGTTCTTATCGTAGTAATACCGTAATGCCCGGCTGAGTTTATCGTAGTTCATATTCGGTTTGCTGAAACGTCAGTAGTGTACCTATTACTCCATTCGCCTGACAAAAAACGCACCTTTTTCGTTCTCCCCATTTCCGTGCTACTTCGTCCGGATCAACCAACTTGAATTCTCCGCTGCCGCCTTCCCACGCGATGCAGTGAGCATTTGAAGCGGCATCCGCCAAAAGTTCCAGCAGAAATTGCCACAATTGAATCTGGCCGCTCCCTTGAAAAACTTACCCTTTCTTACTGGTCTTCTTTAGAAGAAAGCTTGTTCTGTTCTGCTGATTTATTCAATCTTTTGTTGTAAAGATAATGTCGTAGAGGCATTAGAAGAAAAGAATGATGCAAACAGGGTACAGCATCGTTGTGCGAAACCCGGGGGTAGTACTAGGCCGCTGGGGAGGGGGGGGGTATGTGAACGCAGGATCGGTGAGCACTAAACAGCACAAAAGTGTCATCTCTACTTTTGATGGAGCGGACGCAAAGCAGCAGAATACCCGGACGTAAGAAAGACTACGAAATATTACAGCAATTGATTAGCACAAACAATATCAGCATGAGCTCGTAAGTGCGTAGATGACAAATAACACATCTCAACCTTTGAAACCATTAACAAACATCTGCTTGCATGGAAAAAATCACCTAAACAGAAGTCACATCTTCCCACCACGTCTGTGCAAAAATGCACGGCGCACACACGGAACAGTCGATCAATGATAATCAAACGACTTGATTCCTTTTGATGTGTATATATAAAGGCATATTGAAGTTGGCTGAGTATTCGTAAAATGGCGCAAAAAGAGTCGTGTTTTTGAATGGTTTAGAATGTCGCGCAGGTTAACGCATCTAAAATATCTTCCAAACTAGCGGATCCTCAGAAGAACTGTAGAGCCATTAGAAAGAGGAAATATTGAGGGTTCTGATGACGTTCTTAGCCTTGCAAAAGATCGCTTCCAAAAGAAGATATTTTTGTGTGAAGCATAAAATCCCGTCCGCAATTTACTACTAACGCGTCCTTATCCCATCCGAATTATTGAAAGGCAGTTGGCTTTGATTTAGTGCTCGGCCCCAAAATGCTAGTAGGGCGCTATATAGTGGGGAAACGGCGAAAGAACGGAGTGAAACGGTCAAAATCCTGCGAAAAAAGAGCCTCCGTTCTCACTGTGTTAGTAATCAATTTTGGACGAGTTTCCCGTAGGCATCTTGCCAATAACCGCTACCGAAGGTACGGCTGCATATGTGTACTCATATATCCATGCAGCATCACGGCCGCTTCATACCAATCCCTTCGCTTCATAATTTGCTTAGCAAATGAATCAATACGAGCGTCAGGAACGGTCGTCCATTTGTGGGCGGGCGGGCGTGGCGGGCGTTTGGGTCGGAAAGTTGTGGCTTGATAGGGCCCTTATAAGGGCACCTCCCTTGGAAAAGGCATTATGCAGCTCCTGGGTCGCGGAATTCCGTCCTGCCAGGCGTATTAGCCCTACTCGTTTTGGAGGATTTATCGTGCCAGCTGCCTTTGACGAACGGGGGAAGATTCGGATTGCGAGTAGGTAGAAGACCCAACACTACAGACAATGCTTCAATATGCCGCCTTACTTTTCAAGCCCTACACCTGAAGAAGGTATAAGCACAGAAAAAGCTTCCCGATTTCCACCCAGCCAACAGATCTGCTCCACCGCTAATTTGCCATTTAATCATAAGGCGGCCGCAAGCGTCAATGGCTTTACGTTAATCCTTCTTGTCAGAGTAAACAGTCAGAGCCGGAAAAAAGAGCAGGGGTCGTACCAGATTCCTTTAGGGGAGGGGGCCGTAGTGACAAGTTTATTTCACACGATGCTCTACCCTGGTTGCAAATAAGAGGCGCTGTTTGGCTCAGAGCGGGAGGGTGGGGGGACAAGCCTACCCTTTCGCGACTTCCTTTTTCTAATCTATTTCGTCACTCACGCAATGTTTCAGCTTAGAAAATAGCACCATTACATATAAGCCAACACAATTGTTTCTAATTGGAAATTTCCACTGAAAATTCATTACGAAGAGTCACAAACTAAACCTGTTATAAACGTACCACAAATAATCTTTTAAATCTCATAATCTCATTTGTTCCCGTTAATTCTACGGAGAAAATAATGTAGTGGCAAGTGTGGCCCGCTTACAACTCTTGCCGTAAAGACTTCAGATCGCGAATTGGCTCCAACCCGCTTTTGTGGAAAAGGGAAACGTGGCACACTGTGTGTTTGTGCTCTGTCGTTTGAAAGTGGCACGCTACCACGCGCACAATCCGGGGTTCAAATCCCGGGTCGACTCCCGCCCAGGCCAACCAAGCCTTCTACCCTCCGGGGACGGTAAATTGGTACCAGATTCGTCTGGGAGGATAATAACACTGACTCGTACACCGCCTAGCCCCCGCAAAGCCTTATCCTTATCACAATTATTATGTACCCTTGTCCACATCTAGGACAATCATTAGCGTTACCCTTTTACTCCAAATTAGTTCACCCACCCTGGCGGGAGCCCCAATTCCTTTCTTGCACCTAGGTACAGTTTATAGCAAGGAAACTGAGTGGGAGTGACTGCGTACCCTTTTTGACGCGGTGTATACTGTAGAATGTTTTAGTTTTGAACAACTGTAATCATGTCCTTACCCAGCCTAGGCAGGACAGCAGTTGTCTGAAACGGAGTATGCCATGCAAAAGGAATCCTAATACACATGTTCCAAGTGACCTCGAGAGCCGCGGTCCGATCCTAACCTCGCGGGAACAGAGGGTACAAGACCCCCCATATCCACATATTACGGTGGATTCTAAAGTTGTGCACCAGATCGTCTTTTCAATTTTCCCCCTAAACCAGCGTAATTGGTTTTCTTTTGTCCTACGTTTATAGTTTTTATTTATTTTTTATTTTGTTTTTATTAATTGGTTTTTTTAACATACTCACCTTGATTTGGCATACGAGATAGTAGCGATGTGTACTGTAGGCATCCTGAAACATAATTGCATTGGAAATATTCGTGCTTCAATGGAATCTTGTCAGCACTTTCATGGACACACTGGGCAGAAAGAGAGCAATTATTAAGCAACGAAGGTAAATGCGGCATTATGTTCGCCTCAAGCCGCTGCCTAATAGTCGAATGACGCGATGGGCCCACACCAGAAGAAACACTTACAGCTGAGCGCGCTCACAATTGTATATCACCAACAGCGGCAAATTGATTGAAGAAAATCAATTTTGTAACTATTGAGTAGGGGTCAAGTTCCTTCTTAAAGGACACTATGGTTAGGAAGCACGGTGGAACATTTTGGCATTTTAAAACATTATTAAGTATTTCGTAAAACGTTTTGTTCTAGCTTTTATTGATACATCCGTTCTGTGCAAAAAAGCAGCCCTTCCACGTGAAATGAGCTAAATCAATTATCAGGTGAGAAGGGACCTCCCTTCAGCGTCCAGATACGACCCCTCCCCGATGAATAGTCCCCAACGTAAGACGTGCTCTGCTGGTGGGTCTTATCCATGGAACAAGGCGATCGGATGAGCCACTGGTTAGAATCGGTCATGCCAAAATGTGCCCCACTAACGATGGAGCTTGGCTATCTTCCGTCCGTCCCCAAAGACCCAAAAATCCCAAATGTTTCTTGAGGAAGATCCCAAACTTGCGAGACCTTTGTCGCTTGGAACTTGCAGTGAAATGAAAGGAAGAGTGGGACTTACAAGCTCCTTCTCAACTAGGAGTCCATTTACTGTGAGCAGAGTAGCCTGAAGTATCTGGCGCTGCTTTCACACAACTGCAGTACTGTACTGGGGTCCCAGAAGTCATTAACAGCTGTCTGCCCTCGTATTTAGTATTAGAATTTTCCGCAGCGATTTCGAAGTACATGTAAATAATAAAAGTTACGTAGCTACACGGAGCGGAAGTGGTATAATGGCTAGCGGAGCGCTTACGCGTTTCGCTGATTGAACCCGGATCGGATCCTGGACAAGCCATTCTGGCCTTCCACCTTCCGAACATTATGAGCTGGTATCAGACTAGTCTGAGAGGGACGGAACACTATTTTATACAGCGGCTGGACCCCGCAATTCACCGTATGGGCCACGGCTCACTCCAGTAGGCCACTACTGCTCTGAAAAGATGAGGGTGCCGCAACCCAAAAACCATTGTCCCAAAAAGAGATTGGGGCAGCGCTTCTTTCATATCCAAAAGGGTAGCGAATTTCCCCAGCGAGTCACAAAGTACAATAGTTTGAAGCCCTACTCGGGCTTTGCCCTGTTATATATTCTGATGCTATTTTTCATTATCGGAATGTACGATCGCTCTTGCTGAAATAACTTCTACCTGAGACGAATGTCTTCCATTGAAAACACCTGTTTTGGATTCGTACGGTGGGCTCTTTGACTGAAATTAGTCGATGCTAGTCAACTCGCTCTTTAGCAACTATAGTCTTCATCATTGCGGACCGGTGGGGCGTGTCAGCCAGAAGGAGTGCGCACACTGTTGAAG